GTGTTTGATCAATGACTACAGCATTGAATTCACACCTATGATGTCGATATAATGCAGTTTTTTTTTGATGCAGTATTGAATTACCACTTACAATGCTGAACACACAGCTGCAACGTTGAATCAACACATCCATTTCTGAATTAAAAGTGTTGAGTACAGCATTGAAATTCACTCTCACTGTCCTGAGTGAACACCTGCAACATTGAACAAGCATCCACAGTATTGAATAAACAGCCTCAAGCAGAATTCACTCAGTGTGTTGGATGAACTCCTGCAGTGGTCATTGGTGATTTAACTGAGTATTGAACTGACAGTGTGGAATAAAGATCGTCCGTGCTGAATTAACACTTACAGTACAAAATGAACAACTATGTTGTTGACACGTCAGTGCTGAATTAATACATACATCTACAGTGGTGAGTTACCATAGTGTTAAATTTACTGCACCTGAATAAACACATACAGTGTCGAATGCACACATACTGAATTCACTCTCACAGTGGTAAATTATAGTGTTGACTGAATATCATCAGTGTTTAGATGAGTGCAAAATTAAAAAAAAAAACTGTAAACAAACACTCACGTGTGGTATTAAATCAGCAGCTTCATTGTTGAATTAACACTTGCTTAATGAGCACCAATAGACTCCAATACCAACAGTGTTGAATAAACACTGACAATGCTAAACAGAGAACAGCACTGAATGATCATGTTGCATAATTAGTGAAATGGTGCTGAATTAACACCTACAGCAATGAATAAACAACAACAGGACAAGGCTGAACAAACACTTGCTGTGTTGAACGAACACAGAGTTGGATGAACACCAACAATGTCAAATAAAGAACAGCACTAAAAAACACCAATGCTGTTGGCTAAATGGTGAAATACTGCTGAATAAACACCTAGAGCATTGAATAAACAACAACAACGTTGAATGAACTGTTATATTGCAGTGTTGAAGAAACACTAATATTAAATGAATAACAGTATTGAATAAATAGTGAAATGGTGTTGAATAAACACCTAGTTGAATAAACAACAATAATGTTAAATAAACAGCCATAATGCAGTGTTGAATAAACTCTAACAACATTAAATAAATAACTGTTGAATAAATAGTAAAATTGTGTTGAATAAACACCTACAGCATTCAATAAACAACACTGCTGAATGAACAGCTATAATGCTGAAAAAAAAACCTTTGGAGTGTTGAATAAACACTAACAATGTTAAATACGTAACAGTATTGAATAAATAGTGAAATAGTATTGAATAAACACCTACTGCACTGAATAAACAAGTGTTGAATGAACAGCTATAAAGCAGTGTTGAATGAACTCTAACAACGTTAAATAAACAAGTGTTGAATACATAGTGAAATGGTGTTGAATAAATACCTACAGCACTGAATAACTAATAACAGTGTTGAATAAGCAGCTATAATACTGAATAAACACTTGCAGTGTTGAAGAAAACTAACAATGTTGAATAAATAAGTGTTGAATAAATACAGCACTGAATAAACAAGTGGTGAATGAGCAGCTATAATGTTGAATATAAACACTTACGTTATTGAATAAATACTAATGATGTAAAATAAACATTATTGAATAAATAGTGAATAGGTGTTGAATAAACACTTACAGCATTGAATGAACAACATTGTTGAATGAGCAGTTATAATGATTAATATAAACACAGTATTGAATAAACACTAACAGCGTTAAATAAATAAGTGTTGAATGAACAGTGAAATGGTGTTGAATAAACACCTGCAGCACTGAATAAACAACGATGAAGGAACAGCGAAAGTGTTGAATAAACACTTGCAGTGTTGCATTCACATTTGCAATGTTTGATAAACACCTAATCTGGCTACAGCGTTGAAGCAACACTGTGGAACAAACACCAACAGTGTAATATGGACGTTGCAGGTGTTAATTCAGCTCCGATGACCTAGTCCTGGAAAGACGGGGTTCAGGGGGATCGCCTGTCACCTGTAGGGTCGCAAAGTTGCGGAGTGACACAACTGCGCGTGGCGAGACTGGCGCACGAGCCATAATGACACCTTCACAAAGGGGTCTATGCGCAAAAGCGCGAGTGAACTTTATGCCCACCGCTGTGCAGCTTCGCGTCTCGTGCATGCGAGCATAATGACGGCAGAGGACACGATGCGCTGTTGCACTGCTGTATGGCTCAGTTTATGCGGCGATTTTGGGTTACAGTCACTTGAATAAGGAGCTAATTGACTTGCATCCCCAGCAACATGTGGTAAAAGCGTTCTGAAGGCGCTGAAAGGGGATGTGTGTGGGGGGGACACCGCTGAGCTGCACGCAGATCAGTCACGTCTTAATGAGTGAAGCCCTATAGACACATGACTCATACCTGACTGACAAAAGCAGAAGAGCAACAGAATGTGTGAGGATGCTGTTGCGACCCCTCATATTCCTAGTAAGCCCCCCGCCCCCTTCAACAACGCTCTCCCCTTGACACTCACCAGGGTCACCCTTCGGCCACCGGTCCGCTCGAATAGGCGCGTATCTCGCCGCACGCGCTCAGATGCCATGGTCGCAGTCCACGTCCCTGCATATGTACCACAGGATCACGTAGAGGATGAGTAAGATGGCGAAGATGAAGAGCGCGACCAGGACCGCCTTGGTCACGGGAGAAATCAGCGACTGCATGTCACTCGGCGATCGCTGCGCGCGGACACACGCTGACCATCGCGACCCGAACGGCGCGTGGGGAGGACAAGCAAGGCATCCGCGCGTCCAAATGCACCAGCAAGGCTTCAAGAAGAGGAGAAAAAAAAACTTTCTTTCCTTTTCTTTTGTGTTTTTCTTTATCTTGTGCTCTGCGCTGCAGTGCCAACTGCAAAACACACACGAGCGCGGACACGGTCAGTCCGCTGAGGACGCGTCCGAGCTTAAAGACTCTCAGAACTGATAAAAGAAGGTGCAGAGAGAGAGAGACAGAGAGAGAGAGAGAGAGAGAGAGAGAGAGAGAGAGAGAGAGAGAGAGAGAGAGAGAGAGAGAGAGAGGGGAAGAGAAAAACAGAGAGAGAGACAGAGAGAACTGACAGTAGGAGAGAGAGAGAGAGAGAGAGAGAGAGAGAGAGAGAGAGAGAGGGAGACTGACCGTCACAGGCTTTGGCGCACCGCGGTGCTGCACTGAAAGCGCAAAACGCTCCAGAAGCTGCGATTGCGCGACGCGAACACTAGAGGGCAGAAGGACACAGTGCAGGGGGCGCGAGAGGGCACAGCTAGGGGCAATTGGCCCAGAACTGAGGGCACCTGGGTCAGTACGGTTGAGGGCAGTTGCGGTAACCACACTGTAGCGCTCTGTTGATGTGTGTTTAGAACAGCGCGCGAGGCCTTAAAGCGCTTATTATACGTTTAATACATAAAGAAAAATTAGATAGATAGATAGATAGATAGATAGATAGATAGATAGATGGATGGATAGATAGATAGATGGATGGATAGATAGATCGATAGATAGACGTACTTTCTTACGTAGTCTAAACTATGGTAGTATGCAAAATTTTGAGCACCCCTGTTCTGTTGATTTCCTAAGTGAAACATAAGTAACGCATAATACATCATATGCAATAAGCTTAAATATGGCATTTGTCTGCAAATTTTAGTTCACAATTTCTATTCGTAAAGTATAACGTAAAGTATATTGAAATAAAATGGAAAATAAAGTACAACATATAGTGCCATAACTTTTGCACAAGTTTTTTTTCCCTTCAATATGTTAAATTCAGCAACTAAACAATAATTGTGCATTAAAATGGGCAGAAGTGTGTTCTCTGCAGAGGATGTGTTCACTTATTCTCATGTAGAACAAAACACGTCATTTGACCAGGGGCTCCCAACCTGCGCGTCCGCAACAACAACAACAACAACAACAACAAATAAATAAATAAATAAATAAAAAGGACAATCAATGAGATTAATCCGTACTAGGCCTGATTACAGCAACAAACAACAACACTACTACATCCTGTATACTAGCAACACAAAGTAGGGGTTCCACCTTTTACTGCTTGGGGCAGCTATATGTGCTTGTTTGTTCCTTCCTTTTCTTCTCCTCTGCTGCTTCTTCCTTCTGATATATATACTATAATAGGAGGAGGAAGAAGCAGAGAAGAAGAAAGGTAGAAGGTAAAAAGCACATATAGTTGTTGTATTTGGTCTTTAAACTGCTAAAGCACGAGTTAATGAAAGAGACAAATCAAAGCAAACACAGCGAAAACAAAGCGCACTTTCACACGACACGCCCCGAGCAGGCAGGCCTGCGGCTCTCAGACTCATCATCTCAGCCTGGATTTCACAGCCTGCGCAGCGCTGCTGACTGACTCCCTGACTGCCTGCAGGAGTTTACAGACTGAGACACACCCTGCACTTTCTAAACGGCTCCTCCTGCCCGAGCTCACACACAGAGAGCCCGCTCCTCCAACAGCGCCCTGCTGCAGCTGTTTCAGCGTCTCTTCTTACTTACGGACACCAAACAAGGCGCTTAAAGTCTGCTTTTTCACTGCAGCATGACTTCATACCTGTGGATTTTAGTCTTGGCAAGTCTCGCGGGAACGTGGGCACAAGGTAGGCGATGTCCTGACACGCTGTTGACTTTGGCTAAGTTGTTTAGCGTTGTTGCAGGTCGTGCTTTAGCCTCGATATTCGCTTACATGGTCGGCTTTATTCAAATGTTACTGGAAAAAGTAGCGGAAAGTTGTTAACTTTGCTAAAAAAACGCTGTGCCAGCCTGTAACCTGGTTTAGTAACGCAGCTGCGGTAATGCCGCTCGAATGAGCTCATAACGTCAGTTTAGTATCATATCCTCAGCTCAGTCAGTGCTGTAAGTTAAGAGGTTTTAAAGTAGCGCTTTACAGCCTTAATACGCCACACCTTGATATGTTCTGCCTCAAGACCAGTCAGATCATCATAAAGTTCAGTGTCTCGTTCAGCAGAGGCCCATAGGAGACTATGGCATATGGGAATATGAATGCTGGGTGATATCAGTCACAATGATTATCATGAATTATTGTTATATAATATTGTATGAATATTCCTGCTAGAACGACTAGCACAGATCAGCATGGCCGGTCACCAGCAAAACCACCATATGTTGTGTTTTGGAGGCTGGTATGCTGGTCAGCAGCAATGGAAGATGTTAAATTGATCACAAGCAAAACCAGTAGTGGTATGCTTGTTAACCACCATGACCATGCACGGTGACCAGCTAAGCCAGCATCAGACCGGCGTAAACCAGCTTAGACCAACATGGAGTACCTGTTAACATGTCGCTTCCCGAGTGCTGCTACTCTGTGCTTTAAGAATGTGTTATAAACCTAACAAGGCAGAAAACACATTTCCAGGAAGGAAACTGTTTTCTTCTTCAAACTGCTCTTTCAGAAACCATCTGGCGCACCCAGTAAACACCATAAGCTACGGTTAAAGGAGAATCAACATTTCTGCATAATTAAATCTTCTTCTTTTAGTGGTGGTGATGGGAACCAGGGGTCACAATGTCTATAGTGCAGATATATCGATTTTTTTATATCAATCTTATCTCAAAACTATTGTAAGATCATGTCACCGGGCAACAATTTTTGCCACCATTTCAAGTAACTTTCCATGAGGTTAAATAGTTCACACGTTCCTATCACCATCACTGTGAACAATTCTGATATAATACGTTTGTATGTTTGAATGGAGCATTTCACATCAGACCACTCTGAATGCCTTTTTTTGACATCTTAGCCGTATAATTATGCCGAAAGTTAGAAAAGTTGGGTCAATTCCCTGTTTAACTGACAGGTCCTATCATGAATAAAGTACACAAAAAAGCTACTAACAAACAGTCAGAACGCTGCTGTTTTATGGGTATTATGTCAATATATCGCTAAAACTGGAACGCAGTATCAAAACTGAGCCTGTCAGTATTACGGTGTACTGGTGTAGATGATATATCGGTCAGCACTAAGAAAACCTCACATGCTCTCTACATGAGTCATGCATCCCTGATTCATAGTGGGGCGAATTGCTCTGAAAGTGTTGGCACCGCGTGACAACACATTTTAAGCCTGGGCCTCTTAGCTTTAGTGCCTTAACTCATTGTACTGGATTAAAAAAATCATACAAGGCAAAGATCATCTCGCAAAGTTAAGGACATTACTCATATATATATGATATGCATGGTAGCATATTTCAGAAGTTGTGGAATATGGAGGGGAGGGGGTCTTAACTCTGTCCTATTTTTAGCCACATGAAACGCTTCAGCTGCAATATGTACACAATAGCATGTGTGTGAGCCTGGACAGCAGTGAAGCTCACAGCTCACACAGCTGGAACAGTCAAAATGCAGCAGCAAAACAACGTTGTTACAAAAAAGACAGAGAAGAATTGGAAAATTAGTAGAATCAACTACTTTCATTTATATAAATTCACTGGCTACTTTATTACCTTTGGGGGGGGGGCAGTACGGAAAAAAATATTTAAACACATTTCCATGATGCATGATATGTATCACAATATTTTGTTTTTTTCAGAGGTTTGGTAAGTTTACACAGATGAAAAGAGCTTCAGAAGTGCTGCATTTCATAAACACGGTTGTTATTCAATGTTTCACATACAGAGCAAACATCAGATGGGTTCAGTTACGTTATGTAATAAAACGTGTCGTTTGTTCAGCGTGCTTTAAAGGGAAATGCGTCTGATTTTTCAAAATTTCTACCAAATTAAGTGGTTAAGATGTAAACAAAGTCGTTCAGAGTGGTCTGATGTGAAATGCTCCATTCTAGAGATACTGAGTCAGAATTCACCAGAACAGTGGTGGTGATAGGAACCAGACGTCTGAAGAGTTTAATACCTCTAAAAACGTGCTAGTCTGCCTTGTGTGGCAAAATAGTATCCAAAGAACGCTTACTTCAGATTTTACCTTAATCAACATTACTCAGATGAAAACTCAGAAGACAAATGAAGATTCACTGGTCATCTTGGATAGTGAATAACATTACATTTGACTTGTAGATATTGAGACCCTTGACTCTTTTAACCTCCATTGTAAAAAACCTTGAGTTTGTAAGTTTCCTTAAAATAACCCACTTAATTGTTTACATCTCAACAATTGAATTATGCAGAAGTTAAAAAATGTCAGTGGAATTTCCCTGTACTGTACTGATGATATCTAGAATATCATACTGTGATGTAATTTACTATATAATTCACCAGTACCATATTGCCCATCCCTACTTGTATCTACACTCATTGTCCATTTCATCAGGTCCACTTAGCATATATACTGACAGACCACTGATGAACAGGTAGATTACGATCTGTATTTGTAGGACTACAGACAGCACTGATACGGTATATGGACCTGGTGAAATGGACAATGAGCATAGATTATTATAGTTATAGAGCAGGTGTTATACTCTGGGTGTTGTTTACAGGTGGTCTAAATCTGTCTTTTTGCAGATGTTGTTTGGTGTTCTAGAAGCACCGGTTCTACCTAGCGTGATATGATAAAAATAATATATGATCACATTGCCCGCCTCTACATAACAGCCCATATAACAAACCTGTTGCATATTACAGAGTGTTTATTACTGTGAAGATTGGTATGTGAATACGGCCATTTTAGAGTTAGACAGAGTCACGTTGCACCCTACTGTATTCATTTCTGTCGTTATTTTCTAAAGATGCAGTGCAAGGCTGTGTTTTTTGAATGTTTTAACCAGAGGGATCTTAACCTTAAACATTAGGGACAATATGATAATAACTAAAAAAATGTTATAAATCAAACAATTTGTAGTATATAAACAGTGTTAAAGTTCCATTCCCTCCCCAGTCCACACAGTCTTTATGGAAACTAGGTTGTAAGTGCTGTAATACTGTCAGCTGCAAATACTGCAAACATTAAACCATTTATTTAATTCATTTTATTTATTAACACATTTACGTTATACACCCATTCAGCCTACAGCAGTTTGGCTCTGCCCATTCATGCTGAAGTAATAAAGACTGTTCCAGTTTAGACTGCTTGTTGAATGAGGCAAAGTATGTGGCAGCCACTCAGAACAGAGCTCATTTACTTGTAGTCGTGTGCAGAAGTTTGGGTAACCCTGGTCAAATCACATTTTGCTTATTTTTGTTGTGAAAATGAGTTACCTCATCCTCTACAGAGAACACATCTGCACATTTTAATGCACAATTACTGTTTATTTACTAAATTTAACATAAACGTAAAAGAAATGGCACATTTTATATATTATGTTTTATTTGTTAAATGAAAAAAATTAAACTCAACAAATGAATAGAAATTATACACTAAAACAAGCAGAAAACGCCACATTTATGGACCATGTAGAGAATGTGTTGACTTATTTTCACTTAGAAAATCAACAAGAAATGCAGTTTGGCTGACGGTGTTCAAACATTTACGGTAACAAGTCTGTTCAATTTCAAAGAAATAAAAAGAGGTTGGAAAATGGTCACATAAAGTGCATTATAACTGCTTTTGGTACCTCAGGGAAAAATACAATACAAGAGAAATATAGGATATGGGCCCTTTAAAAAGCCTTTATACTACACAACTACAAAGATACCTGACCCAGTAGTATTTACAACTAGCGTATTTAATGTTAGCCACACAGACAATCAAAACAAGTCGGTTTCTCTTTTAAGTGAAGTATTATAAGAGAAGTCCACCGGCACACTGTGTTCTATGTTTGCCTTCGCGTGACTCTTTCCACTTCCTGTGATGCCGTGACTGTAACAGGCTGCCCAGCAAACCGCAGGCACTGCGCTGTCTGCCAAATGAGGTGCTCACGTCTGAAGATGGGCTGCATCAAAACCTCCTCCTTTAAAGGAATACTGTATATTTTTTCAACTTACTTTTTATATGCTGTATCTGTAGCGTATAGCTGATTACTACAGAGGATAATGTTGGTACGTGTTGTTGTGCTTAGAAAAGAACAGAAAACCCGTTGACTCGATGCACACTTATAATAAAAGCCAATGGGTAGGTGTGTCAGAACTTGCTCATTGGCATCAATGTTGCAAACTTTGCAGGAGTGCATCTTAAGAAAAAGAGAATGTGTTGACTTATTTTCACTTAAAAAATCAACAAAACATGTAATTTGGCCAAATTTGGCCCTTAAAAGTGTAAATAACTTGGGAAACTCAGTACTTGGCTTAAAAGTAGTATCAAGTGACTTACAGCTAGTTTTAGTGTTTTAATCTCTTTTTTAAAGGGCCCATATCATGGAACATTTAATTTACCTCAGTTTTTGTTTTTAAAGAGTTTAATGTAGGATCTAAACATTGTGTAAAACATACCATTCACTCTCTAATCTGTATGGTAAACCAACTCATTTACACACATCCACCTACAGCAGTTTAGCCCCGCCCATTCACATTGAAGTTTTAAGGAGTGTTTCAACCCAGACTTTCTGAATGAGGCACAACACATGGCAGACAATCAGAACAGAGATCATTTACGTACATCAGTATTAAAAAGAGCCTGTTTAAGTCTTAGAGATAAAGAGAGGTTAGAAAATGGACAAATGGAAACATTTATTTTGCCCCTTTTTGGTGCA